ATATATATATATATATTTTAATTGAATTCAGAGAGAGAAAGGGAGAAGGAGATAGAAACACCAATGATGAGTCATTGATAGGCTGCCTCCTGCACACCCCCTGCTGGGGATTGAGGCCAAAACCCAGGCATGTGCCCTGACAGGGAATCGAACCTTGATCTGGATCATAGATTGATGCTTAACCCCTGAGCCACAGTGGCTGGGCTGCTGCACTTTTAAGAGCCATGCAAAGACCCTGTCTGCTGTCCCTGCTCTAGGAAGAAGTGTGGTTGGGGGAAGGTCAGCTTTGGGGCAGGCTATTCAACATATTTTATTATAAAACCTAAGGGGATAGGGACAGGGTATGGGGAACTGGGTTGGTTACTTCTGGGGTGACATATGTTTCCCACACTCAGGAGACAGTGGTGCTTAGGGCTGCCCGGAGTTCTTTGGGGGCAAAGACGCCCAGCTCTGTGATGATGCCACCAGTGATGAGGTCATGAGGGGTGACATCGAAGGCAGGATTCCAAACCCCAATTCCTACAGGGGAGAGAAGGAGACAAGAAGGTAGGTATTTGCTTCTGTGAAAGTTCTCAACCTGTTGTCATCTGTACCCCCATACCTATGGTGGTTCTTGGATTTAGGGAATTCTTGAGAATTGGGATACTTACCCCAAAAGTGCATGAAGGCATGGGTTTTGGCACCCAGTAACAAGTTTAGACCCCTCCCCCCACACCATTCCTGAATTGTCACTGTCCAAGGTTTCAAAGTCTTATATACATCCACCCCACTTTTGCCTGGATCTCTTAAAGACCATCCAAGAATCCAGGGCCTTTGCATGGGCTCTGCCCTCTGCCTAGATGCTCTACCTCATATGCACATGACTCAAGCCTTTGCTCAAATGTCACCTTCTCAGTGAGGATGTCTCTGATCATCTTGTCTAAACCCCCTGTACAGACACCTCCTTGCCTTGTTTATTTCTCCTCCGCCCTTACCTCCTATAATTGTGTTATCTATTTCTTCATTGTCTTTCTCCCTGACCAAACTGTCAGCTCTACGTGGGCAGGGACTTTTTAGTGTCTTTTTTTACCCCTATATCCCAGCACTTAGCATTAGTCAGGCACTCAAAGACATTTGCTGCATGAATTATTCAGTGTAGATCACAACTTCTTACACAAGAGGCTGAAAACTGGTGGCCTGTAACTTTTTTCTCTGGTTTACAGTTTTTTTTTAAGACCGCTGAATTAGCTGCCAGCTTTCAAAGGTGGGAAATTTCACATGTTAAAAAACGTAAGGCTTCTCTTGGAAAAATCAGAAGAGCCATTTCTCTGAGGTCTGCATTCCTGTGATCACTGGCAGGAGCAGAGCATCAGGGCGCACAGACTGCACCCGGCCCATGTCACCCATGTCTTGCTGCCCCAGTTTTATTTTAGTGGGTGTGGGTTGTCAACTCTGCTTTCCATGGTCTTAGGGATTATGACCAAGGCCAATTACGCTTCACACATGCCCCGAACAGGGCTGGGGACGGTGCCTGCAACTAAGGTACGTGCTCTTGGCCAGAATCAAACCTGGTACCCTTCAGTCCACGGGCCAACGCACCAAGCACGGAGCCAAACTGGCCAAAGCAATGTATCCATTTTAAAAAAGCTGTGAAGAATCGCAGCAGAAAACAACAGAATACTAGGACTTCCCTCTGCTTAGTTGTACAGTGTTTTTTTTTTAATTAAAAAAATGTTTTTATTGATTTTAGGGAGAGAGGCAGGGAGAGAGAAACATTGATGAAAGAGGGAAACACTGATTGGCTGCCTCCCACATGGGCCTCAATTGGGGAACTGAACCCACAACCTGGGCACATGCCCCGAACGATGCTCAATCAACTGAGTCACAGTGGCCAGGGCTGTGTATTTTTAACCTGATTCCATACTTGGTAGTGTCCCTATAGTATTTTAACGTTTAGTGGTTTTAACCAGTCATTTTTATAAAAGGCTTTCAATCATAATTGTTAATATTTAATGGGTACTAAGGGCTGGGCCTATTTTCCATGTCATGTGGATGAGTTCACTGAAGGCCCTGGGGTTTATGAGTTAGGTCATAATAACAGCTCATTTTATAGACAGGAACAGTAGGGCTCTTGGGGATGAGAGAACTTAGGCAACTTGTCCATGGCTGCACAGCCAGGAAGTATGGGGAAGATGAAAAATATCTGTGTCTCTTCATAGGCACTTGGCTTAACAGTATTCTTATTTGTTTTTCAGGTGAGAAAACTGAGGTGGAGAACGGCAAGACAATTTGCTCAAGGTTTCTCAACTCATGAGTTGGACACTCTCACCTTGAGTTTGACCTCCAAGATGTTTCTGTTCCTAAAATTGGCTTGAATTTGAAGTTGCCTGTGCCCTAGAAGGCTGATGACACTCCAAGTGCCACCTGCCTCCTGTGAAGGGGCTGGGGTACCTAACTGAAGGTGCTCAGATTCTGTGGTACCCCTCTGAGTGACCGCTTACCAGGTGCTGCAATCCTGACTCCGTTGACGTCAGTCAGCTCCTGGCCTGGGCGCTCCTCAATGACGATCTGCTGGCCCGTCTCCAGATGGAGGTCACATGAGGAGGTGGGGGCAGCTACGTAGAAGGGGATGCCATGGTACTTGGCAGTGATGGCCAGCTGGTAGGTGCCCACCTTGTTGGCTGTGTCGCCATTGGCAACCACACGGTCAGCTCCCACAACAACAGCTAGGGAGCAAGATGTTGGGGGTCATCACCGGGCCCTGGATGCCTGGAGCCCCGTGTACTGGCACCTTGCAGGCTGGTATCCCACCTGCTGACCTGACACGTCCCGGTGTGCCATGGCGGCCGCTGCCATGCTGTCGGTGATGAGGGTGGCAGGAATCTGCTCGTAGACCAGCTCGAAGGCCGTCAGCCGGGCCCCCTGGTTGTAGGGCCGGGTCTCTGTGCAGAAGGCATGTTTCAGGCGGCCAAGGTTGTGTAGCGAGCGGATCACACCTGTAGGGCCCAACTCACCAGAAGGCCAGGATGAGACAGAAGGGGACAGATAGGCAGGGTGGCCCATTAGTTGGGGGCACAGACCTCCAAAGGCTCCCTGTCCCCAGGCCCTTGTGGTGGCTGTTCCCTCTGTCCAGTACACATGTGATTAGAGAACACCTTTTCAGTGAATCTGTCCTTCATCCTTCCATCTCACATAGCAACCCCCACACTTCTGACCTCTTTCCTTGCTTTTCTGCCTCAGCACTTATCACCTTTGGACACATCATACATTTTTACTGACTTGCTTTTATCTGTTCCTCCTACTTTACTGTCCCAATGGCTGAGATTTTGTTTACTTTGTTCACTGCTGGCTCCCCAGCCCCCAGAACCGTGCCTGGCAAATAGTAGATGCTTAATAAATATCTGTTGAGTCAATGAAAGAATGCATGCATGCATGAATAGTGGGACACATGGTAGGTGCTTAATTAAATGCTGAGTGAATGAAGGAATGCATGCATGCATGAATGGTAGCGTACACAGTAGGTGCCAGTATTTGTTGAGCAAATGAATGAATGATGTCTTGCTATCAGGGCCTCAGTCCCTAGGCCCCAGAATGGAACCCACGCAGGTAGGAAAATCTGGAGAATTTAGGGTCAAGTGGAATCTGCTGCCTTGAGCCCCAGGACCCAGTCCCCCCCTCTCCAGGTCATAGCTCCCCCAGTCTTTCCAAGGGGAACACTGCCTTCCCCTCAGTTCTCTTGAAGTCCGTATCCTTCCCTCTCTGCCCACTCAGGCCAGGCCCATCAAGTGGTCGATCCTGGATGGGCAGGTGATCCCATCAGAGCCCCCGAGTTATAAGGAGACTTTTCTGGCACTGTCAGCATAGAGACCCTTGGCTCTTTTCCTCTTGGTCTGAACATTGGCAGGCCCTTTGCTGATCCATGGAGTGGGAGCAGGAAGGAAGAGCTTAGGGACAGGAATAGATGGCTCCTAATGCTATTATTTGAACCCCTGGACCAGCCACACCTGAAGTCATCTTCCTAAGTGTTTCTGTATAATCAATTTCCATTTTGAGGGGTGGGAAAAGTGGTTTGGGTTTCTTTCTCTAGGATCCAAAAGGGGCCCGCCCCCATCCCCACAGACACCTACTCACTCACCCAGGGCTGTGCCGTAGCCAGCAGTGGCCAGTGAACCAGTGTTACAGTGGGTCAGCACGGTCACCTTGCTGCCCCCAGGGGCTGCCTGCTCCAGGAGGTGGTGGGCTCCCAGGTCTCCAATGCTCCGATTATCCCTGAGGTCTTTCTCCAACATGTCCTCAGCACAGCAGATCACTCTGGGGCCGACAAGGGGTTCTCAGACTTGGGGCCCAGGCTGGCCCTTCCTTCCTGCCCAACTCTCTTGCTGAAAGCCTCTTACAGCTGTGAGGCCTGGACCCTTCTGCCTTTGCCACCCGTCACTCCATTCGCTCATGCAACACATGTTAACTGAGCACTTCCTGTGTGCAAAGTGCTGGGGGGCACAGCAGTAACCAAGACAAAAATCTCTGCAGAAACCTTAAATCTGAAGGAGGGCAACTGCTCTATAGATACCTGGCCTGGAGAAATGGCATGTGCAAAGGCCCCATGGTAGGAGCGAGCCGGTGGGGTCAAGGAACTTGAGGGCAATAAATGGTGTAGTTGGAGAAGAGGGGGAGAGTGAGACAAGAAGAAGGCAGGCCTGACTGGTGTGGCTCCGTGGTTGAGCCTCAACCCATGCACCAAGTGGTCCCCTGTTAGATTCCTGGTCGGGGCACATATCCTGGTTGCAGGCTCCATCCCCAGCAAAGGGTGTGCAGGAGGCAGCCAATGGATATTGATGTTTCTTCCTCAGGTTGATGTTTCTCCCTCATCCATGTTTTCTCTCTCTTCCTCTCCCATACTCTCTCTAAAAGTAAATAAAAACATATTTTTTAAAAATGAAGAGGGCAGGGAGGGGGTCAGGACAAGAAACAAAATTCCTCAAAAGAAAAATCCAGCAGAAGGACGTGGCACTGAAAAGGACCTCCAAGGGCAGTGGGGACTAGGCATGTTCAGGGGAGGCACAGTCATGGATTGAGTGCAAGGAGGTCGGGTCTAGGCTGCCTGGGGTCGACCCCCAGCCCTGCCTGTGTGGCCTTGGACTAAGTGCGCCATACCGGTTTCTCATCTGTAAAATGGGTCGCTGGGCGCAAAAAATGAGTTAGCCTCTGCTCAAAGCAACGCAGGGCACAAGGCTCCCTACCTCTCCCGGACCGCCTCCTCGGTGGCGCCCTCCCGCTCGGCCTCCTGCGCCGCGGCGTCCGCCAAATCGCGGGCAGCACGGGCCATGTTGACGGCGGTGGGCCGGGCGGTGACCAAAAAGCTCAGCGCGTCCCGTATGAAGGCAACGAGCGCGGCGATTCCCGGCCCGCCGGCGCCGGCCTGCATC